ACCATCGCTTTGTAGTATAATTTGAAATCAGGTAATTGTGATGTCTCCAGCATTGTTTTTTTGGCTTAGAATTGCTTTGACTATTATGGGTCTTTTATTCTTCCAAATGAGTTTGAGGATTTTTTTTTCTAGTTCTGTGAAGAATGTCATTGATATTTTGATGGGGATTGCATTGAATCTGTATGTTGCTTTTGGTAGTATGGCCATATGAACAATATTAATTTTGCCTGTCCATGAACATGGGAAGGTCTTTCATCTTCTAAAGTCTTCTTCAATGTACCATAACTCTCATTGTAGAGGTCTTTCACCACCTTGGTTAAATTTATTCCTAGGTATTTTATTTTTGAGGCTATTGTGAATGGAATTGTTTTCCTGCTTTCTTTCTCAGTAGATTCATTACTGATACATAGGAAAGCTAATGATTTTTGTTTGTGGATTTTGTAACCTGCTACTTTGCTGCTTTGTTTATTATCTCTAGTAATCTTCTGGTGGAGCTTATGGGATCTTCTAAGTTATAGGATCATATCATTGGCAAACAGTAATAATTTCATGTTTTCCTTTCCTATTTTTTACCCCTTTTATTTCCTTCTCTTGTCTAATTGCTGTGGTTTGAATTTCTAGTACAATATTAAATAGGTGTGGTGAGAGTGAACAACCTTGTCTTGTTCCAGATTTTAAAGGAAATGCTTTCAGGTTTTTCCTCACTCACTGTGTTGTCTCTGGGATTTTTGTATATTGTCTTATGATGTTGAGATAGGTTCCTTCTATCACTAGTTTCTTCAGCGCTTTTTTTAAAAAAAATCATGAATGAGTATTGAATTTTGTTGAATGCTTTCTCTGCATATATTAAAAGAACTAAGTGATTTTTGTTTTCATTCTATTTATGTGATGAATTACATTTATTGATTTGCATATGTTAAGCCATTCTTGCATCCTGGGATAAATACAACTTGGTCATGATGTACCATCTTCTTAATATGTTGTTGCATACAATTTGCTAATATTTTTCTTTTGCATTAGTTCATCAGGGATATTGGTTTGTAGTTTTCTTTCTTTGTGTTCTTATCTGGTTTTGGTATGAGTTTAATACTGGCTTCATAGAATAAATTTGGAAGTGTTCAGTTTCTTTTTATTTCATGGAATAATTTGAGGAGCATTGACACTAGTTCTTCTTTAAAGATCTGGTAGAATGGTTGAGAATTCTTCTGGTCCTGGGGTTTTTTTTCCTCTCTCTCTTTTTTTTGGGGTAGTGGTGGTGGTTACTGGGGAATAAGCGCAAGGGCACTCAACCATTAACATCCCCAGCCCTGTTTTGTATTTTATTTAGAGACAGGGTCTCACTTAGTTGCTTAGTGCTTTGCTGACTTTGAACTCATGATCCTCATGCCTCAGCCTCCTGAGCCACTGGGATTACAGGTGTGCACCATTGTGCCTGGCCTGGGCTTCTTCTGTTGGAAGTTTTTGTTTTGTTTTGTGTGTGTGTGTGTGTGTTTGTGGTGCCAAGGATTGAACCCAGGGCCTTATGCATGCAAGGCAAGCACACTACCAACTGAGCTATATATATCCCCAGCCCTGGAAGTATTTTTATTAGTTGTTTTATCTCACTGCTAATTATTGGTGTGTTTAGTTTTTTTTCTGTACTCTTGACTCAATTTTGGCAGATTGCATGTGTCTAGAAATGTATTCATTTCTTCTGGTTTTCCAATTTGTTGGAGTGTAAGTTTTCAAAATATTTCCTAATTATCCTCTGGATTTTGTAATGTCTGGTGATTTCTCATTTTTCATCTCTAATTTTATTAATTTGGGTCTTCTTTTTCTTTTGCTTAGGCTGGCTAAAGGTTTATTAGTCTTGTTTATGTTTTCCAAGAACCAACTTTTTCTCATTGATCCTTTGCATTGTTTTTTAATTCTCAATTTCATTGATTTTGGCTCTGATCTTATTTATTTCCTTCCTTCTACTGGTTTGGGAATTAGTTTGTTTTTCTTTTTCAAGGGTCTTTAGATACACCATTAAGTTTTTATTTGGGATCTTTCCGATTTTCTTACATAGGTATAGATGGTTGTAAACTTTTTTCTTAAAACTGTCTTCAGTCTAAGAGGTTCTGGTATGTTATATTATTATTCTCGTTTGATTCTCAGATTTTTTTCAATTTCTCCCATGATTTGTTAACCCATTCATCAATTGAAAGTGTATTGTTCAATCTTCATAGGTTTATATAGCTTTTGTAGGGTTTTTCAGTGTTGATTTATAATTTCATCCCATTATTATCTGATAAGAGGCAAGGATTTATTTATTTATCTATCTTATATTTGCCAAGATTTGCTTTGTGGACTAACAAAATCTATTTGGCAGAAGGTTCCATGAACCACTGGGAAGAAAGTGTATTCAATTGTTGTTGGATGAAATATTCTATAGAATATTCTGTTAAGTCCATTTTTCAGGTCCAACAAGTCTTTGAGTTTATGTCTAGATGACCTGCCTATTGATGAGAGAGTTGTGTTAAAATCACCCAATATTATTGTATTGAGATCTGTTTGAGGCTTTGAGTAGTCTCTTATGTAATTAGTTATACCAATGTTAAGTGCACAAATACTATTGTTATATTTTCTTGTTGGATTGTTCCCTTTACCAATATGAAGTGACCATTTTTGTCTCTTCTGATTAATTTTGGCTTGAAATCTGTTTTGGTAGATGTGAGAATAGCAACTCCTGCTTGTTTTCAGGCTCCATTCTCATACCAATTTTCATCCTTTTACTTTCAGCCTGTATCTGTCTTTGCCTGTAAGTCTCTTGCAAACACACATTGTTGGGTCTTGTTTTTTAATTCATCTTTCCAGTTTTTACTCTATTAGAAAGATTTTCAACTAAATATTTTGATTTGTGTCTTTCAATTCCAAGATTTCTGTTTGAGTCTTTTCAATATCTGTAGCTCCTTATTGAATTTTAATGTTATTTTTTAGTTGTAGTTGAACACTATACCTTTATTTATTTTATGTGGTGCTGAGGATTGAACCCAGGGCCTCGCAGGTGTTGGGCGAGTGCTCTACCGCTGAGCCACAACCCCAGCCTCTCCTTATTGAATTTTTCATTCATATCTTCACCATGTCCTTGAGTCATTCAGTTGTTTTTCAGTGTCCTCTTGGAATTCATTGATCATTTTTGTAATCATTCTTTTGAATTTCTTTTCTGATATTTTATCCACTTCCGTGTCTTTAGAGCCAGTTGCTGGTGAACTATAAACTTAAGGAGCATTGTATCACCTTATTTCTTCATATTTCTTGTATTCCTATTTTTATACATTTGTTTTTGTGATGGATTTCTCTTTCTCTCTTATGTGTGGGCCTTTTCAGTCTGTGACCTTTTCTTGCCAATGTGTCTTAGAGTGATGAGATCCCCTTGTAGGTGTGGAATCTGCAGCCTTTGTGTTATTTTTGCTGTAGAAGTTGATGTCCATGAGAGACCTTGAAGACACACCCTTAGTTGTTCCTATTTGGAGTCTGATTGTTAGCTTTGTCTCTTCTATTTGTTGTATTTATTAAAGTATAGCCCAGATTCTGCCTTTCAATGAGAAATACCCTTTGCTGTATGCAAGTGGTAATTTAGAATCCATATTAGCAGAGACAATCCTTATTTTTCAAGTCTCAAACTGGCCAGATCTACAATTTCCAGTCATAATCATCAGTTGCCTTGGACACTGCTACACACATTCCAAATACCATGGAAGAAAACCCAATCTTTAACCTCTAAGTTTATTCATTTGCCATTTTACCTGCAATCCAAGTTTGTTTTATTTAATAATTTATACTCCATCTCATGACATATCTGGCTCTAACTGAACTTTACCTGTGGATTCCTTTTCAACTTTGTTATGATTACACAAACACACACACAAATGCCAAGTACAGTACTTATGTTTTTTTAGAATTACAAAAAGGGGAAAACAACCTGTAATTCCAGAGCATTATTTTGTGTACATATTTATAAAAAATGCTTTTGAATTGCTGTGGTCATGATTGCACAATTTTAGTTTTATTCTCATCACCTTATTTGTACTTGACTTACTATAGACTTTTCTTATTATATTGGCTGAGGGATTTCCACTTCAGGTTCCACTACTCTTATGAAATGTAATCCATGCCACTTTTGATGATTTTCTGAAGAACTTCATCTACTATTCTGTGTAATTGTATAATTTTAGCTCTGCTAATTAAAAATATCCACCTCACTGCTCCACAGACAGGAAGTTCTTTCCCATGAAGGGCTAATGAATGGCACCCTACCTGTGGGGTGGTATAGGTGACAGGTTGGTAAGGAAGAAATACTCATTTCATCTTGTCTTTTTTGTGTTTGAATGCACATAATCCTTGGGGTGATAAAACATGACATTTTCTGAACAGAGAAGCTTATTTATTTTCACAGAATGGTAATCAAGGGAATTTCAGATCCACAAAGTTCAGAATGCTTCAGAAAGTTGCTACCCATTCACTGGATCATATGAACATTTTCTATGTGCCTGTCACTGTCTGTTCTTTGTATACACTTGAAACCAACTGTTTTACATCAGAGCATTTATGTTACAAATTTAACAAATACTGGGTGATAAAATGGTAGGGAAGGATTGATTTTAATGAATTTGGATTAATTAACACAACAGCACATTTCAAGGGTACAAACTTAAGAGGGAAGAAAGAACACAGAAATTTGCCCCCTCCAAGCTCCTTAAGTCTTATTTACAAATAATGTGTAGAAAAATCTTATTTGCTGTTCATGGTTTGTATCCTGGACACAATTTCATGTTTGATACTGATTCAAAATTGTAGTTATCAATTCATGCTGGCCCACCCAAAACTAACATTACTGGTAAAAAATGAGTACTTGTGAATCTGTATGAACATCTGAACTACATTTTCACTCTCCATATAATCTTCATTTCAGCCACCTGATGCTGAAATCTAAAATACTCTGATGGCTTAAATGTGCACAAGAACCACACAGATGATAAGCAGGATTGACTGTCTTTATTTGGTGTCGATAAAAATAGCTTCAGATTAGTTGTTAAATTTACAGTTAACAGTGACCCTTTAACACAGGCAAAATAAAGAGGGGATAGGAAAACTGAGACCAGGGCAAAGGCAGTGTGAGCCCAACCACTGCAAGCTCTGATGTACCCCCATACTTCAGCAGGGGCAAAAAAGCCAAAGTACTGATTGCTTTCCAAATAGCATGTTTTCTCTTGAGTCTATTGATGGTTACATTTCATTGTACCTTGTAAAATATAGTCAGCCACTGTAAAAAAACCATCACATTTTGTCAGAAGATATATATTCATATAATACATTCAGAATCACTGCTTTGTTTTTTGTCTTTGTCTTTTCTTCCCTGACTGTTTAGGTGTTGGAGTCTCTACTGCTCCTTCTGCATCATATACGGGCAGCTTGAAAACTATTTCATCATCTTCATCATCATCCATTCCCACCACTTCAGATTTTCGTTTCTCTAAAAATGTTGGTGTACAAACTGGTGTGGGGCCCTGGAATCAAGCAGATTATAATACATAAATGTGGAATGATAGCGGACATGACTTTAGCTCCCTTCTCGTTTTAGAAGTTGTGCAATGTTATATTTGGCTTGCATCTACCTTTCAGTAATATAATTGCAGAAAATAAAGGGAGTAGGTGTTTTATCAACTTAAGTATGGAAACTCATTAAGTGGAAGAATATACTCAATTATCTTAGATAACAAACTGCTATCATCAGTTAAGAACTACCAGATGGGCTGGGGCTGTAGCTCAGTGGCAGAGCACTTGCCTAGCATACGTGAGGCACTGGGTTTGACCCTCAGCACCACATAAAAATAATCAAATAAAATAAAGGCATTCTGTCCATCTACAACTACAACAAAATAAAACAAACCAAACAAAACAAAACCTACCAGAAATGTCACCAAAATTATAATAGCAGAAACCACATTTCTTCGTTGAAATTATTTTGGAATACCTGTGCCCAGAATATGAAGACAGGTTACCTGGCTATCTATAGACTTGTCAGGAGTGGCAGCAGTGCCTTTGGAAACCCGCTTCTTCTTCTTCTTTGGTATGCCTGAAGACTTTTTCTTCTTTGTAGGTTTATCTGAAGGATCTTGGGTCTTACTGGATGATAAAACCTTAAAATAAATTAAGACTTTAAAAATTTGCATATTTTTTCAGCTATTTTTTGATTATGCCTTCCTATTTCTTTCTCTACTATCTGGCACATAATATAAATATAATTTTACCTAATTGTAGATTTCTAAAGATTTTATTATTTGAAACGTGTTCCCCCTTGTTTTGCTAAAATTTCAAACAAAGAAGTTACAAATGCTACCCCTATAGGCCCACAGGACTAAGCTCAGGATTGTGGCAATGAAGCCACACTGCTTTTCTAAGTACAAAGAGGGTACAGAAAAAAATACTTATTCGCCCATTTTCAAGTTTTACAGTCCAACTCCCACACAGTTCAGTTGGCCAAAGGCCATGACATGAATATTTAAGACTGTGATTGGGATTGTGTTTGGCAAACAATTAACAACCAAGAAGTGGGCTGGGGATGTGGCTCAAGTGGTAGCATGCTCGCCTGGCATGTGTATGGCCTGGGTTTGAGCCTCAGTACCACAAAGATGTTGTGTCCGCCGAAAACTAAAAAATAAATATTAAAAAACTCTCTCTTAAAAAACAAACAAACAAACAAACAAAACAACAACAACAAACAAACAACCAGGAAGTGGGCCAATGGAAGACAAATTTGTCTTCTAGTTTATGGATAAAGTTAAAAGATCTAAAGAACTTGGGAAAAGATGTCATTTCTTTCTTTCTTTTTTTTCTTAAATTTTTCTTAGTTGCTGATGGACTTTATTGTCTTTATTTTTATGTGGTGCTGAGGATCGAACCCAGTGCCTCACGCATGCTAGGCAAGCACGGTACCACTGAGCCACAAGCCCAGTCCAAGATGTCATTTCTTAACAACTAATTAGTTACTGTGACTGGAGAAAGTAAGATTCAGCAAGGCCGCCTCAGTATTCCTTTACAACCAAGTCAGAACTACATGAACACCTCTGCCAACTCATCTTCCTGTATGTTGGCTTGTGTATTTCACCACATTTCTGTACGTTTAAATCTCAGAATTGGTGCTTACTAAAGAACACGAGAAAATTTTAACTAGAATGGCGTAATAGGGATGAACAATTTACAGTCTTGATATTTACTGAGAGCATACAGTAAACATTTCTGGTAAAGTCACATTTAAGTGGTAATCTAAGAGCATGATGGCTTTTGGTTAAATAGCGGTTCAACTTCAATAAATTAAAAACTAAGGAAAGTCATGCAAGTCAGGGGTGGCAGTACACGCCTACTTTTACCCAGAAGGCTGAGGTGGAAGGAAACACAATTCAAGGACAGCCTGAACAACTTTATCAAACCCTGTCTCCAAAATCCCCAGACCGAAACAAAACAAAAAGGGCTGGAGATATAGCTCAGTGGTAAAGTACCACTGGGCTCAATCCTTAGTGGGTATGGGGGGAGGGTAAAGCAAATCAAGTAATTCCTTAAAAAAGGATTCTCTCTTCCATATAATGGAAGAAATAAGATCTGTTACCAATTGTTTATGAAGAATCCACAGGCTGTTTAAAAGACAAACTGTGACAGGTGGCACAAGTCTGCCATCCCAGTGACTTAAGAGGTAAGGCAAGAGGATTGCCAAGTTCAAGGCCAGCCTGGGTGCCTTAGTGAGACTTAGTGAGACTGATAAAAAGGGATGTGGCTAAGTGATAGAGCACCTCTGGGTTCAATCCCCATTAACACAAACACGCATGTAAATTAGTCAAAGCCTACTATGTGGGGTTAGGAGTATGGAGTGCAGCTCAGTATTGGAGCACATGCTTAGTATGTGAGAGGTTTGGGCTGGGTTCAATCATCAGCACAGAAGGAGAAAAAGGGAGGAAAAAAACAACAAAAAACTCAAAACCTAAAAACCCAATGTGTGATAAGTACTGGATTACTTTTTATAGTCACAGACACATTTTATAACTAGTGAGGTACAAAGTCTATCCCTAAGAGAAACCACTGAAAAAATTTCATGAAGGAATGCTTACCAATGAAGGAAAATCATAATTAATTCCTTTTGCTGCTAGTTTTTTCCTGAGCAATTTTTCTTTCTTTTTAAATCGCTCTTCCATTTGCAGTTTTTGAAAAAATGTCCGCTTCCGATTATACCGCTTCACAGCTGGATACGATGGCTGACGAAATGGAGTATTCCACTCTTTAAAAAGTTCTTTGTGTACTTTTTCTGGTGGCATAAAACGACCTATTTTTAAGAAGTAAAAGTTTTCAACCAAGTGGTAGGAAAAGCTTTCCATGTTAGCTTTAGAAATTTCCCTAGTGTTATTTCTCACATCATGATCATGATGTGTAATCTCACACTAGAGCAATAGATAAACCAATTATACCCTAATGGAGTGAGTTAATGCTTTGGGGCAGAACAACCAATTGTTTGGGATCCTTTCTGCTATCTTCCACAGTCAGACTCAGTATAGTACTGACCTTGTAAGCACAGGCAACATTATTCACTTCACCTACTTGAACTACTTCCTCCTGGCAAGCCATTCTGTTACTACGAGAAGGAACCCGTGATCTCCCCCAGGCTTCTGGAAGTCCCTCTGACAGCAACAGGAACTGGGATAGAGATATGCTACCTGGGCAGCCCTGTCAGCTCAAAAACCTGGAAAAGTGGGATGGCCAGAAACTGATCCCTACCTCCCAAGTGTAGTGAAATCTGGACAGGGATGCTTTTGTATCTCTGGGAATGCAAAAATTACTGTCTCCATTTGCCAATTTTTGTGGGATGAACTTCTAATCTGGTTGTTGCTCCTGTACTCCCTATATGGCTTGTGTGAAAGAGTTGCAGTCATTGTCATTTAGACTGATTTTGAAATGTGATTCCTTACCTTTGCTATTAGCCCATCATAAATCTCTTCAGAGTAAGAAAATTCCCCTACACAACCACAATATCATAGTATATAATGTCTGTCTCTATGTTTCTTAAAAAAGAAAAAAAAAAAAGTTTGTATAGTTGTAGATGGACAAAATGGCTTTTTTTTTTTTAATGTGGTGTTGAGGACCGAACCCAGTGTCCCATGCATGCTAGGCAACAGCCCTACCCTCCTTAATGTTTCTTTAGTCATCTCAAAACTGTCTTTTAGCCAGGCACAGTGGCATATACCTGTATCCCAGCATCTTGGGAGGCGGAGACAGGAGGATTGTGCGTAGTTTTCTCACTACCCACTGAGGATAGATTAGCAGCTTCCCTCAAACATCCCTGAAGTAATTTGTTTAATTCCATCTCAGTGAAAATATTGTTCTCATGCTAGAAAAAATTTTTGAATTTCCACTATAACCTTCCTGGAAAACTTACATCCTTGTACCACTCCTTACAAAGCCATTTAATTCTAGTATTATGACTGTTTATTTCAAATAGATCAATGAAACAAAACTGAGTATATTTATATAGATGAGGAGAGATAAAGTCAATGTATCAGAATATTTAAAAAAGGATGAATTCAAGAGAGCAGTATGTTCTTCATGCTGTTCTGTTTCTCTGTAGACCTGAATTCAAAATATAAAGCTAGGAAAACAACAAATAGAACAGAGCGAACTGGAACAATGACTACACTGCAGTATGCAAATATTCACAATAATGTAACACGGAAGCAAGGAAAGAGTTTTTGTGAAAGATATTAAGCCAAGGCAAAAGATATGAACAGACAATTCACAAAAGATGAATTCCCATGGACAGTAAGTATAATACTCAACTTTACTAAGAACAAGGCAAATACAACAATCATGGCCACTCTATATTCAACGATGTGATGTAAAAGCAATATTTTTCAAACTCACAGTGGCCTTTTGGGGCAATAAAATCAATTTAGCTGAAGAGAACACCAATTCTTAAACAGGGGTTTAAGAATTATGTCACTGGACTTTTTCTTTAGTTATGTTTATCTAGTTATGTACATCTGTACATGTACTGGCTTGTGCTGTAAAATTTACTCCTTTTTGCATGCTAGAGTCCCCAAAATACTATTCTAGAAAAACCTACCTATGCCTACAACTATATAAAGAATGTCAAAGCAGCTTCATCATTCCCACCCCTTCACCTGGTTCCCTCCTGCTTAACCTCCAGGTTTCAATTTAAATAATACCTCCCAAAGGAAGGTTTTCTCACTACCCACTGAGGATAGATTAGCAGCTTCCCTCAAACATCCCTGAAGTAATTTGTTCAATTCCATCTCAGTGTATATACTGTTTTCATGCTAGAAAAAAACATAACCTTCCTGGAAAACTTACATCCTTGTACCACTCCTTACAAGAACCATCCCAGAGATGAAGTGGCATATCCAAAGCAGCTAAGCCATCTGTCTTTCACATCAGTCATGCACCAACAGAAGCATCCACGAAACTCCAGGGTAAGATAAGAGCACTTACACACCAAGAGTCTTTCACCAAAAAGGTAGTTATTCATTGTTTCAGCAACTATCTTGGCAACATCTTCAGACTCAAACTCCACAAAGGCATAGCCTCTGCTATTTCCAGTCTGCAATGGAAATCCACCACAAAAATAATTACCCTCTAACAAGTCATCAACCCCTAAATTGCCTTAAATTTAAATAATACTCATTAGTACCTTATTAGCAATTTTGATACCTATAATTCCAACTTTAATTCATGTATTCCAGGGATTGTCTGGGGTGTGTGGGGGGGAATAAAAAGTCATCCAAACAGTGGATTTTTAGGTACTCGTATATTTTTATATAAACACATGATTACTATGGCTAGAATATTTTCAATAGCAATGTCCCATTTATAAAGGAAATCTGGCAGTTCCCACAGTTCTTTGCTAACTGGCAGTCTTACTAGTCATAAATTCCTAATACCAAGCATGTTATATGATGCTTTACCAATAGAAAAACTGTAGTTGGAGATATAACTCAATGGTAGAGAGATTGACTAGCATGTGCAACACCCTGGGTTCGATCCTCAGTACTGCCGAAAGAAAAAAAGTGTGAAAAACTGTAGAAACCTTAGCGCTTGCCTAGCATGGGTGAGGCACTGGGTTCAACCCTTAGCACCACATACAAAAATAAGCAAATAAAATACAGGCAAAAAAACCAAACCAGGGCTGGGGATGTGGCTCAAGCGGTAGCGCGCTTGCCTGGCATGTGTGCGGCCCGGGTTCAATCCTAAGCACCACATACAAACAAAGATGTTGTGTCCGCCGAAAACTAAAAAATAAATATTAAAATCCTCTCTCTCTCTCAAAAAAGAAAAAAAACTCAAACCAAACCAAAACAGAATAATGCACCAGTTACATGAATAAAGCTCAAAACAGATTACTAAAGGAAACAAAAAACCAAAACAACAAAAAAACCCCAAACACACACCTTACAGAATGCTATAGTTTACAATTAATAAAAAAACCAAGTAAATCAATTTGATATTTGATAAAGCTATATGAATTGATATTTGATAAAGCTGTATGGTGGACACCCAATTTATTCTCTAGTCAACTTCAGGATATTTGAAATCTCCATATAAGAAAACTATTATAAGTAGGTAAATGGAGAAGAAGAAGTCAGAGGGAAACACAAAAAAAATGTTATTCTGGTGAGATGGAAATTTAAGATTCCCTTTAAAAACATATGTAAACTGGGTGTGGTGGTGCATGCCTGTAATCCCAGGGGCTCAAGAGGCCGAAGCAGGATTCCAAGTTCAAACTCAGCAAGATCCTGTTTCAAAAACAAAATAATGGAAGACAAAATGAAACATATATAGCACACAGTGCTATATAAGGCAAGTTCTCTACCACTGAGTTATATTCCATCATCAATTCATTTAATGTTGAGATGTTGCTTAGACAATATAAAATTTAAAACCTGCTGTTTTAGGACAACTAGCAGAAAATGGGTATATATCCTAGATGTCTCAGCTACAACCAATAAATGTGTGGAGGAAATAAATGAAGTGGGCCACTCCTTTGTTCTTGAAATAAACCACATCAGTCTTTTTTTCTTAGAAGATTAAGTATGATAAAACAATAACATTTATGGTATTTAATTCTAAGAACTTTAAATTCATTACCTCTTTGCTCTTTGTTAAAATATTTTTAGAAAATTGTGGATTTTTAAAATTTTATTTTAGATCACAAAAAATGAAGCAGGAAGAAGTTATATAATTTGTCCATGGTCAGACAAGCAGTTGCTAGTCACTAGTATAGCTAGGCCTCAAACTAAGGTAGTCCAACTACAGAATACTTATCCTTAACTACTTACTATATAAACTTTTGCTATTAAAGAGTTGGCTCTATGAGGCATACAAGATGAACCCGGTGTTCGAATTTAAGTTCATTTATCCCTGGGCCTAGGAGCCACAAGGTAATATGGCTCATTTACCAAGACTGTCAATTTAATTTGAGGATTTGGGACAATCACTTTGGCAAAATATTTAGAATAACACTGACTTTTCTCAAGGCTGTTTAAATCTCATCCCCCTTTCTGAAATCTGATACGCAACAATATGTAAGTATGATCTGTAATCTGTTAAAAGTGATATTCAAAAACAAAACTATCAATTCAATTTGGCTTAAGAAAACTTACCTTTTTACTTCTGGATAGTCTAAATCTTGTAATAGTGCCAAACTGAGAGAAATATGCTTTGATTTGGGTTTCATAAAGTGCTGGAGGCAGATGGCCCACAAAAATTACTCCAGGAATAAGTTTTTCTTCCTTTTTTTGCTGAAGACAAAAAGACCAGATAAAAAAAACATTTTAAAAACGTGAACATTGCAACAAAACTTTCAAAACTCTAGTGCTCTGCTGAAGAACCTACCCTATATTTTTACTTATCATAGCAATAATTTAAAGAATGAGTTGTTGTCCATATCCCCACAAGGACAATTGCCACTGTTTTCTCAGGCCTGAATTCCCAGCACCAGCATCAAGTACATGCTTTGGAGGTTAGGCTGAGTGGATAGACAAGCAAGTAAATATCTGATTACATCACTTTAGATCTTCCACCCAGAGAATTCCATAGAGTGCGTCCTTCAACTTTCGACGCAAATCACTGTTTATTCCTATCTAATGGAACACTTTTCCAGAAGCTTGTTAACCTTCATATGTAGACTAACCTCTGAGTGTCTCTGTGATCACTTTCTTATCTTCCGTAAGAAAAATTTAGTTTTTTCACAATATATATTGTGCTATAAACCAAGGAAAATATAAACTTGATGTCAAGGGCTCCAATCGGCAAAGGGAACTTGGTAAATAATATCTTAACTCCCAAACTACCGGGCATGTAATTTTGGGCGGTAAAGCAGAAGCCTGACATCCCCTAACATGGTATTAATCTGTGGGAACCCCTCGGCCGGTTCCCTTCTTCTCCTGCGTCACCCCATGCCTCCCTCTAGTCTCCACAGGAACGTCCTAAAATTTAGCAACCAAACCCCACAGTATTTCTCCATCAGAGTAAACCTCCTCGTCTCGCGCACCGTGGCCTCTAAACTCATAAGTTCGGTCCCCCATTCGGTGGGGAGCTCACTGTGGAAGGCCCTGGAGGTAGCAGAAGCCCAGGGAAGGCAGGTCGCGTCCTGGCCGCGAACCGCGCGATCCGGAAAGCTCCCGGCAAGACGCACCGCCTTCCCTCGCAGCCCGGACCGTGCGTCCGCTCACCTGGGTTACGCGCTGGCGGACGTGCTGCACCTCCTTCTGAAACTGGACGTCTTCCTGCGGGTTCAGAGAAAGAATCGGCCCGGGTGGGACGACGAACGGAGACCCCACCATGTTGGGACCCGCAGCAACACAACTCCACGCGGCGCGCTCCCGGAAATGCGGGCCCTCAACTCTTCGGAAGCGGAAGTAGAGGCGGGAGAGGGGCGTGGCAAGACCCGAGGGAGTGGCACAAAGGATAGCGCCCCTTGGCGCTCTCTGCTGGCCAGGCACGTTTTCTTCTCCTCGTACCTTTCACCTGTCAACTTGGAACGTCCAGAACAGTCACGTTTCAAAACCGTTTTCTTTTTCTGCTTTTCATACTGGGGTTTCAACCCAGGGGCGCTTTATCTCTGAGCTACATCCACAGCCCTTTATATATATATATATATATATATATATATATTTTTATTTTGAACAGGGTCTCACTAAATTGCTCAGTCGGCGTGCACCATGGTGCCCGGTTTCAAAAAGAATTAAAAAAAAATAACTACAAAACTATATCTGTGCCCTTCGGATCTTGTTAACTATTCTTCCATTAGTTTGCTCTTTTCTTTTTTCAGTCATGTGTTTTAGTTTTTTTGAAACAGGGTCTCACTATACCTTCCAGGCTGGGCTCAAACTCCTGGGTTTAAGTGATGCTCCTGCCTAGCCTCTCAAGTTAACTGGTACTACAGACAGATGAGCACCAATATTGCCAGCTTAGAGGTTTTTTTTTTTAAATCTCCTTTTTTGTTGTTTTGTAAATAAATTAATATTACCATTACAGTCAATTCAGCTCCGTATAAGTGAACTTTTGAGTTTCAAATGGAAGAAGAAAACAAGGAGCATACTATTTGAGTTAAGGCCACTTCAAAAACAGCAGGTGCAAGAGATGAAACTCTTTGTCCTTGCTATACCAAAAGGAAAGTACCATTCTTATCATCAAGGACAAGAAGTTGAGGCAGAGGGAAATCTGTGAAACCAACCTTTTTAAGACTAATCCTGATTCTCCCATCCATTTTACCCAATTAATTGTCCCAGCTCAATTATCTCTGCTTTTCCTATCTTCATAATTTACTACTCATTATCTAAGCTGGCATATATTTATATCTCTGTATCTTTGATTCTTCATGTTCTTATGAAGACTCCTGTACCACATAAAACTTGAATTAAATAAATTTATATTCTTTTTCCCTGTTGATTTTTCTTACATAGATTTAATTCTCTTACCCAGCTGAAAAAAAATCTCGAAAGAGAGCAAATGTAAAATTCTGCCTTCCCTACAAAATGTTCTTTATGGCAAGGTTACTCATATAAAATTCCAGATACTGTTCTGGAAAGAGCATCAATTGGAGGACTACCCTTATGCTGTCTAGAAATTCAAGGAAAGAAAAACATATGACTCAGAAAATTAACTTCTAAATAAACCATACCTACAAAATATAATCTTAAGAATTACAATTTTGCTGAGCTTCTGTTTGAGCAATTATATACACATTTAACTTCAGCAGTGCAACTAAAAAGGAGAAAATTCAAAATTACAAGAAAGACCAAAAAATACTGTTTTTGGATCAACAGAAAAGTCTTCCTACCTAGGAATAAAAATTTACTGATTTCACTATGTAAAAATCAAACAAGATAGAAACAATTTATAATATTAACATTTCTATGGATGTAAATTTAAAAAACACTATCCTAGAATTTATCATCTTCTGATATTTCCATTTGAACTGTTGTATAATCACTGAAAGCAATAAAAACAAATGAGAAAAATTATTTTAGGACATAAAAAATGATTGCCATATTTCTGGATTACTTTATTGAATTTGTTTTTATTTTTAAAGAGAGAGAGGGAAAGAGAGAGAATTTTAATATTTATTTTTTAGTTTTCGGCGGATACAACATCTTTGTTTGTATGTGGTGCTGAGGATCGAACCTGGGCCACACGCATGCCAGGCGAGCGAGCTACCGCTTGAGCCACATCCCCAGCCCATAGTGAATTTGTTAACAACTTCAAAAATACTATAATTACGTCTGGTGTGGAGTTGTGCCCCTTGTAATCCCAACTCCTTGGGAGACTAAAGAAGGAAAATTTCAAGTTCAAGGTCAAGCCTGCATTTAAGGAGTCTCTATCTCAAAACAAAACAAAACAGCTAGGGATGTAACTCATTAATAGAGGGCTGCCTAAAACATATGAGGCCCTGGGTCCAATCCACAGTACCACTAAAAATAAACAAAACTCTATAATTACAGGATCTACAGATGAAATGGAAGCAGTTAAATGTGAGATTCATATATGTTCTACAGTTGTAAAACATCTTACAAATTGTAATTTTATCACACATCCATGTGAGCCATTGTGTTATCATGTTAACAGCACCAAAAGGAAGGAGAAAAGTCTTTTTAATAGAGAAGAAATTATCTACCTGAGGTTCTAGAGCTTCAGAAATGGTTTCATTACAAGCTAGAATAAACCTGGAAGGTGAACTGCATCTGTCACCTGGTTGTGTGGCCAGAGGCTGGAACTTCTTGCCACTGGAGGGGGCAATGGACCAGTAAAGACTCACAGTGATTATTCCTGGGGAGGTTCTGCCTCACTTTCTAGAAGTGGGGGAAGGTTTTCAAGAACTGTCTCTTGGAATATCTTGGTAATACCTGACCTCTAACAGAATGCTGTGGAGGACCCAATCTTAGGCATGTGGCATTCATTTGTGTGGGGAGGGGTTAATAAAGAGGTCTCCTGTGTTGTGTAGTGTGGAAAAGACTGCTCTGTCTTGCTCTTGTGGAGGTCCTGCTGTGATCCTAACCTTGGGTTGGTGGCATCTGGTCCAAATGGGGCACTGTTACCTGGATCCTGGGGTCATCATAGCCTGAACATCCTTCTTCAGGGACTTGATCATCCAGGAGATTCTCTGAGCAACATCTGAGATATGATGATACTACTCTCCTGCTCCCACCCTGGCCCCATACTGGGGATTGGGCCCTGAGGCATTTATCACTAAGCCCTCTTAATTATTCAGTTATTTTGAGATAGCATCTTGCTAAATTGTTTAGGCTGACTTTAAACTTGTAATCTTCCTGCTTTATCCCTTCGAGTTGCTGGAATTACAGATATAAATTGACTTGAGGATACTTTTTGAAATATTTGTATTCTTCCTCAATATTTTTTGGTCTGACATAGCATTTTCTTTTCTTATCAAGGTCTCTTTCAGCCAATGCATTCCATCAACATGATGTCATAAGCTTTTCTCTCATGGGACATAAGCTAGCTTTGATAATAGTGGTGCACCCCAATTTTTCTTGAGAAATTTTGTCTTGTCTTTTGTCTGGATTTTTACATACATGGCTCATCTTTTCATCTGCTCTGCAAAGATTCTTTTCTTTCCATGGGAAGTTTTCTCTAAATGGGTATTTGGTGAAATTTTCTTCTTGTTGAGGTTTGGGAAGATCCTGCTGGAGTTCTCTCTTCCTGTCACTTTTCTGATGGAAGCAGGGATTTCTAAGTTTGGAGACTTAACCACGATCTTCAAGTACATTCTATTCCCTAAACATGTTATGAACCTTGCCACGACATCCAAACACTTCCTGAGTACTAGTCACTGATAGTAGTGCTGGCATAGAAAGAAGAGAATACAATTCATCAAATCTTCCAGGTGCTGCTTTCCTGAGAAGGATGGGTGCTCAGTTAGCAAAGCTGCCTATTAAGTAAAGGGAGCCCAGGAGATGGCAGATTAACTCCCAGGAAGTCAATAACTCTTCCTAAATTGCCACCCTGCATGTTCAATCACTTTGAATGGAGGGCTACGGTTTGGTCAATTCCCTTTGATTTCATCATTGCCCTGCTTAAATGCCTATGGCTGTCCTGCCTAGAACCAGAACCTGGTTTTCAGAATTCTTGACATGTGTCAATTTCTGTCATACAAATTTTCCATGGAAAATTCTGCTTCTGGAAAGGTGGAGTAGATAAACTTTCCCTTATTCCTTCCTTTAAGTGCAACTAAAATCCCTGGGCATTATATATAAACTAAACATAATGAGACCCTGAAAAGTAGAGAAGAAGGCAGAAAGCTAGGGGCCTGAGGGCCTACGAAATGACACAGTGGCAAGTTCCACTGTTTATTTATTTACTTTTTTTTCTTATATATCTCAGATTTGGTGCTGAAGAAGCCGGTCACCAAGAAATGCCAAAAATCTGTTCTCTTTGGCCAAAGGATCAAGAAGGGGGCAGCTATAAAGAAATAAAGCTAATTTAAAAGTTAGTTATTTTTATAGTGCTGGGCAAGTGCTCTATCATTGTGTTACATCTCCAGCCCTGTATTTTACCTTCTGCTCTTTCTCTGTTTTTTTTTTTTTTTTTGGTGGCGGAGGTGGGTGGGTAGGTGAGTTGGTGCTGGGGATCTAACCCAGGACTCCAATGCATGTCAGGCAAGGACTCATCACTAAGCTACATCCCCTGCCTGACAGAAAACTTTTATGATACTGCCTCTATTCTAGCCAACACCACAGGAAAAAAACTGATTTTTTTCTGAAAAACAATGCCTTTTTTTTTTTCAGATAAAGCTGGGATGCTCTCCATCCCCCCAACCATGTGCAGACAAAGTCTGAGTGGGGAGCCTAGACTTCTTCCTTCAAGAAGCTCAATGATGTGCTCTAACATCCCTGTCATCATAGTGTCAGAGAAGACCCTGAAGGAAGTTGGGACCTTCATCCCATCAGTTGATGATGTCACTTACTAGTAACAGTGTCAGTGGAGACCATGTGTGAGACTGGACATCCATCCCTAGCCAGCAATAATGAGGAGACCCTGCCCTGGGTGCCAATGGAGGCCAATGGGAGGGGAGATTGGTCTTATTCCCCCAACTGGCAGCAAAAAGCAGTGTTCTCCATTCCTTGCTGGAGCAGTGTCAGGAAAAGCCCTTTAAAACATATTTAAATAAGATCCAGAGTCTTATAGCATGATACAAAAATGTTCAGGTTTCGACTGGAGTGTAGCTCAGTGGTATGGTATTTGCTTAGTATGTGCAAGGCCCTGGGTTCCATCCCCAGCACCCCAACAACGGTGAAAAAAGTTCAGATTTCAGTAGAAAGCCTCTTGCCATACCAAGAACCAGGAAGAGCTCA